TCGTGCGGATACCCCTAGCATCGGTCTCGGAGGTCGTGAGAGGCTTGGTGGAAGGACAACCTTCGCTGCCACCATTTTCCGCTCCACCGGTACCATTCGAGGGTGATCGTGAGGGTGTTCACGTTATGAACAGCGGTAAGCTCATGGGTTCATCGATTATCCGCCTTTCAAAACCGTCCGCTACTTGGAGTGACGCGATTCGTATAAATCTGTCAGGCCCCGAGTTTGTGTCGGTGAGTTCCTCCTCCGGTAGTCGACCTGTTCCGAGCAGGTTGACGTGCACGACGAGTAGAGGCCGGGTCAGTCGTGTGACAATAGGGCGCGGCGGTCTGAGTCGTTTGCTCGATTCGGTAATGAACGGAGTACTTAAGATTAATATCGGTTCAAGAGACTTAGACAGTGGGTTGGAAGAGGCTCCAGAGCCCCCTCAGATAGCTCCTCAGACCTATGTCCACGAGCCACTGCCCTACAAGTCGCTGGCACTCCAATCGTTAGACCCGGCCTATCAATTTCTTCGACGCGGCAGGCCAGCCCTTTATCCGCCAGCGAGCTACCTGAAAGATAAGAAGAAAAAGGGGACCGAAGCTCATCAGAGCGCGGGAAAAGGAAGCGCTCCACGTGCTTCAACTTGACCGACTGCAACTTTGAGAGGCCTGCTCCGGCGAAGACACGTCTGGCACTTAGAGTAGTAGAAGCAGTCGTCGTGGAAACGAGAGGCTTCTTAAAAAAACACCGGAGTGACCCGCTTAGAAGGGAGCGATGAGACCTGCCGGGACTGAGGAGTTGGGAGGCAGAGGGATACTTGCTGCGGCGCCCTTGGCCTCGCGAAAGACCAAAGAGGTAGTGCCAAGAAAGTCACCCTTGACTCCGATAAGACCCGATTCTTCATCTTTGGTAGAGGACTCATCACGCTTCTCTAGACGTCTGTATTGGTTCAACGTAGCGAGGGAAACAGTGGAGCGAGGTTCCTTTGTCAAGAACTTGGTCCCGGTAACTTGGGATCTGAAGGTCGACGTCGTAGCGTTTCGATGCTTCAATTGCTGCACTAGAACGCATCGAAGTCCAAATCCATCTCTCGTTCGTCCCATCTGTCGCAATTGCGGAAGGCTGAACGAGTTTGTCTATATCTGCTCGCGTTGCCGTGATGCCTACGTCACAGATCAGGCGGACCACAGGGCAGCAAATGACGAAGCACGAGAGGTTCCGGAGGTTCCTGAGATGGCTTAGATTGTTCGGGCGCCCCAGTAGTTGGAAGCCCGAAGACAAGGGTGTTGCACAGTCAAGAGCAGATAGCATCCTCGGATCTACGATCCACGAGCCAAAGAGGAAGAAGTCTCACTACCGCGCCGGTAAACGGAAGCGCGAGAAGTGTTTGTGCGCATTGGTCAGACAAGCCAGTCAAGGTTCGGGAGAGGAGATTGCGGTTCAGGAGGTGATCGCTCCGGCCCCGCGAAAACAATAGTGGACGAAGTGGCCAAGGCCAGACAATCGGTAGCCATGGAAACCAGGGGACACAACCTCTCCGTGATAGTAGCTCTTTTTCCCTCGGTAGCCAAGCTCAGGGGTCTCAGGCTCCGGTATTTGGAATCTGCAGAGCAAGAAAAGGAAAGGTGAGGTTTCTTTTTAACCAATCTGTGTATGGTAACGGTACTTCACATTTAGGTTCTGAGAATTTTAATTGGTTCTGTTTAGTTCGGTTGTTATTTCGTTGATTTGCTTTTAATTACGTTTTGGTTGTTCCCAAATGAGACATAAGTAGTAATTCAGTTATCTTTAAGAAATTTAGATAAGGATGATAGCGTCGGCGTCGAGTTGTTGATCACTAATCGAAGGAGAGGAGTTGAGAGAGAGAGTCAGGCTGTTCGCAGGTGCAAATTTTAGCTTTATAAGGGGGTGTGATGGGAGCAGGCGACTACACGTTTTATCGTACGCCACTCCTTTCTCTTCATCTACTTTCAGCTGACCTAGCAACCGACGTTGGTCACATTTCAAGAATGTGCCTAATGTGGTTTGTTTTCTTTCAGCGGTCAATAGTTATAGACGAGCCACGAGAGGGTCCAGCGAAGGCAACAATGAGCAAGAAAGGAGAGAGCAAAGAAAGAGAAAGAGAGAGAGAAAAGGGATCAAGTGCCGGTATTGGGCAATGGTTCACGGCATGCGCGCAACTGATTAACGGCGTCGCATGCCGCCGTAAAATTAGTTCAAGTAGGGGTGCGATAGGCGTTTTTTTGAAAAAGAGAGAGTGAGCGATTGAGAGAGAGAGAGAGAGAGAGAGAGAGAGAGAGAGAGAGAGTTAGTCAGGTTCCAGTGTAAATCAGTGGAGGTTGTCAGAAGCAGCAGTTGAGTATAAGGAGCGAGAAGAGTGAGTTAAGTATAGAGTACAAGGATAGCAAGAAGTTGGTTAGCAAGAACAAGAAAAGAGGCAACGAGAGACAAGAAGAAGTCCCAGAGGAAGCTGTTCACCGAGAAGGCGACGATCCGCCTTTAAGCAAAGGTGGCCTGCCGCTTCCCGCTCACCGAGGAGTCCTGCTGCAGAACTAAGGTCAAGTACCCTTCTAGAGTTTTCTCTCTGTCTTTCTATCTCTCAAACGTGATGGTCGTTCTTGCCCGTATACTGATGCCGCAATAGTAAGGTATCCACCCGTCAACTATTATAACGGTTCTTCATTGCCGGTATTCACGTCGTTGTCGTGGCGATATCACGCCACAGTAGATTGTGTTATCGATTGTCGGTCTTTAATTTGTACAGTAGGTTACGTTAAATGCGTAGAATATAGGATTAAGATTTCTGGAGTTAACGAGTCTAACCCTTTTATTTTCCTTTTCTCTTCTCTAATCCTCTCTCAATTACTTAGAGCGAGATTTCCTCTCTTCCTCACCCTAAAAATAATTGGTGTCAATTAACTATCTCGTTACAATGTGATACAATTGAAACTTCAAACTGAACTGGGCTTTTTATAAAACTCTTATTTATATGTTTCATGATACACATATGTAATAATAAGTTATTTTAATTTCTAATAAAATACAATTTTATAAACATGATAAATTTACCATAGATTTATAAGTGAAAAATATATAACAGTGATTTGCCATGGCGATTTCCGATTCCGACCACGGATGTGAAATCGCCATGAGTCCGATGAAGGAAAATAATACTATTAATTACAGTTTCTCTGTTTACAATTAGAAATAACATAAAAATAAATATGAAAGGAAAAAAATATATAAATAAATAGATAAAAATAAATGAATAAATGATAATAAATAAATGAAAATAATTGCATAATATAAATGATAGTTTACATTTTGCTTATTTTTAGCATAAACTAAAATGGTTTTATATTTAAATTTAAATTTAAATTTTTGAATTATTTTAACGTTTAATTTTTAAACTTTTTATTAAAATAACAATTTTTTTTTTAATTAAATAAAACTAAATAAAATTATTAGAAAATTATTATTTTATCTAAATCTAACTTTTATTAATCTCTTGATAGTTTGTAATTCCCACTTAAAAAAAATTAAAATTCATTAAAAGTACATTAACATTTTATTGTTTATTATTATCTTTTCTGTATATTGTCAGGGCCGAGTGGAGGGGATAGCAGCAAACGAGGAGAAAATCTGTGCTTAACCAAAGCGACGCTCTGATTGATTGAAATCATTAATTTTTTCAGAATATATTGAAGATAAAAATTTTTCGAAAACGGCAATCGACTCGGAAAATCCATTTTCAGGAACTATTATCTTTTTGAATTACCCTGTATATATATTTTTCTTTGTTTTCTCATTTATATTTTTGTTAAAATTAAATTACTCCATTACCGGTGAAATTACCAGTGAAAGTATAGTTTTGTTATATGGCAATGCGAGCTTTATGCTGTACAAAGGAAGAAATTACTCAAAACTTAACGTAGATTGAAACTTACATTACCGCTTTGTATAGAAATGCTCATTGCTAAGCCCAGTATCACAGCATGCTCATTTGTATATGAGTTCCTCAAAGATTGTTCATTGAAAGAGTAAATATACCGAGAATTTATCTTGAGTTAATGTCAGATACCGATGTAAATATTGTATATTAATACTACTGCACAATCCTGGCAGCATATATATATATATATATATATATATATATATATATCTCATGAGAAATATGAATTGCTTAAAAAAAAACAAAAAGTATAGTTCATCGCATAACGTCGAGCAAATAATATAACAATTTTTAGATTACGTTTACTATATAATAAAATTCATATGTATCGAAAAAATCATTGACGCCAAAAGTTAAGAAGTACAAGTTTGCTAGTATGAAGTTGAAACCTCGGTTAGATCGATATTTTCTTTTATATTTACGCATTTTTTTGTATGCGACTACGAATACTTCAAACCTAATGATATTTGATATATGAAAGTTAAAAATTTTAATGATGTAAATAATTTTTTTTTCTAAAATTCTTTCATCCTATACGAGTACGAGTGAAAACAAAACTTTTACAAATAGAAACTTTTTCAGAGCCTTTGTTTCGAAACGATATATTTTAAAATTTATATTTTCATGTTTGAATAAATTTTTAACTTCAAAATAAATATAAATAAATAAATAATTATAATAAATAAAATTTCGTTGAGAACAAAATTTCTTGTTAATTATGTTCGCAGTTAAAAGTCTACAATAATTATAGTAATTCTACTCCTGCAAATGAACCCAAACTCTTGTAATCTTGTGTTTATTATTCGTGCATTGGACAAAATAATGGTATTGTAAAAATGGCCATAGTTCATTGCGCTCTTTAAAAATGTACTCCGCATGTTTTTACTGTTTAATTTTTTTAGTACAAATATAAGTTTACATATTAAAAGTAATAGAAAAATATGTGAAATATATCAGGTTAGATGATTGTAGATTATCCCTCAATACATATCCTTTATTTTACTACAACTTATATTATATTTAATATTACTTATAATTAATACTATTTATAATTAATACTTACTTTGCTCCATCAGGAAACAAAAAAATGCCAAGACCAGAACATAAACCATTTTGAAATGATCCATCATATCGAGTACCTTCGGGTAGAATCAAGGACCCAGCTCCATTCTTTAACCCTTTATTATTCCATTCTCCAATATAACGCGTACCATCTTCATATTTATATGTACCCAGTTTCATAACACCTTAAAATTATAAATAATCTCATTAGATTTAAGAAAAATCATTTCTGAAAACCACTGAACTTACCGTCTTCCATGATGCTCTTAATCGTACTGATTCGTTTTAATAGACTGTAGTCTACAAATTGAATTATATCTAATCAATACGCGAAAAAAACGACCGTAATACTTCAAAGTACACGAAGAATTATTTGACGACAGTATACTTGTAATCGTATTTATTAAAAACCTTCATTAATTTATATAAGTTAGATCGTTTTAGTAAGTTTTAGTTCATGTTAAAGCATTTATATTTAACAAGCATTCAATGAAAATACGTGACATATATAAGTGTTCGTTATGTATCGTTCGTAGAGTGTATTTGTCCTAGACTTGTTTCTGTATAGAAAATAAATTCTGTTGTTGTCCTAACTCATTTCATTGCACTTTCAAATAATATCGCTATTTCTATTTTAAATATATTTCTCTTGCATGTAAAAAGCTAGCTAAAAGTCAAGACTAAATACTCTGATAAAAGAAGGATATTCAACCGAATTGAAAATCCAATCCGTTTTGAGTCTATTTCTGACTCCTACAAATGATAGTTTAAATTCATTAAAGTGAAATCTATCTGAATTCCTTTTAATATTTTTCTATACTGAAATAAATTATTGTAATATTTAAAATTAATTTCGGGATAATAAAACATTAAAATAGATTGAGATTCATTCTATTTTAATGAATTTAAATTTTCATTCGTAGAATTCAGAAATAGACTCAAAGCGGATTGGATTTTCAATGCGGTCGAATATCCTTGTTTTAGCAGGGTTGTCACATGATTTTCGATTGGATATTCATGTGGATTTGTATAGATTACGTATAAAGTTCAATTCGATTTTTAGATGAAATTTAAATAAAATGGATTTTCAGGTGATATCTAGGTAGATTTTTTATAAATCCAACAGGATTTCCCGTAAAATCTAAATGAATACTTATTAGACTATTTATAAAAATCTATTTCTAAAAAATATAATTTTTAATATATTTTTAAATAATTAAAATCTTCAGAAAAAGTTTCAAAGAAAATAAATAAAAAAATAAGTTACTCGAGCGTGGCTTGCTCTTGCTCTTTAACCTGACTCTCTATTATCTTAGATATTTTCTTAAAATTTCGGATAGCAAGAAATGTTTTCATAATCTTTTCTGCCAAACTAAAAAACATTATAAAATTTTCGTGAAATTAACGTTTTGGAAACGTTTTAGAAACGTCGGATAAGTCCACAAATTTTTTGGTAATCTTGTACTTGCAAGTACATGTATAAACTCCAAATCTTTAAGGCCAAATCTAATCTCAAGTTCATAATCCTAAACATATAAACCCATAGACTCTAAATAAAATTCATAAACTATCCTCATATCTAGATTTTCTATTTCGTTAATTAAACACTTATTTAAGTTATGCAATAAATTTGATATTGAAAACTGTGTGATGTTCGTATCACTTTTTTTTATATTATTGTTTGTACTCTCGTGGTCTGTCGCGTTAATGAGTAAGAATTTGTTTCGATTTTCAAAATGCTTCTAAATATTAACTTTTAAATAAATAATAAATAATATATATGATTATATGAGTGAGATTTAAAGGAAAGATAGACTTTACCCTAGTTTCTTATGGTGCGAAGTGTCCCATAAGCAGAGCTTTCTTATAAAAGGATGTAATTCAGCCCAAGTTTCTCATAGCGCGATGTGTTCTATGAGTCGAGCACAAATTACAATACTGAGAAAAAGTTGTAATATAATTTACAATATGTATAGATAAAATTACTATTTAGTTAAGGAAAACGCGTGGACATCTGACATACATAACAAATATCGCTACATATTTAATAAATTTTATCAAAATATTATGGAAAAAATATAAATACATTAATAAAAATTATTATATTATATAGTAAAAATTAATTCAAGAAAATGTGTTATTGTATATAGTTCTTATTACTGTAACGTCGGGCCGTTTATTAGAAATAAATTTTTTTTTCCTCATGTACTTTTGTGTAGCTTAAATTTTAACTCGGTAAACTAGCGAAGGAGAGCCTTCAGCTGAAGCAGCTGGAGGACACGTGAAAATAGTCGTCCCTTTATCGCGCGCTTTCCGATGTTTACCTCGCACGATCATAAAGTTTTTTGAGTAGGTTTAGATAAAGAGTAAAGGAGCCGCGGAATTCCACCTGCATCCTGTTACTCGATTTCACCCAAAAGATTTCCACTTTTAGAAGTCAAAACTTTTGCTATAAAAAAAAAACCTTAATAACTAATTTTACATAAATGAATCGGGAAAATAACAGCATGATAGGAAAATTTCGCAGCTTCTTGAAACCTCCCACACACTTTTTGATTAGAAATATAGTTGCCGCGCAATCATTGAAAATAACTCGAAGTTTTAAAATTACAAATTAGAAAAATGAGGTAAATAGTCGAAAACAGTTACTTGAACGAATTTTAGCAAATCAGTTATTCCAGTCCACAATTAAATAATACCCTTTTTTCGTTCGAATTTATTTAAACAACGAAGTGAGTTAATTAATTAAGTTACCAATTGTAAACATGTAGGATCAACAGATTTTCGCGTAAAATATATTAAATAATAAGGAACTTGCGTTATTTTTAAGAATTAATTGTAATAATTTTATATAATAAATAACTTAATAATTATAAGAGAAACTGTACTAAAAATGGTACTTGGAGAGTCATCTAGCGAGATAAGGCCCAAACTCTTGAACGCGCGCCCCCAATTCTCACCACGCCCCCGAACCAATTAGGGCCCGAAATCCGAAAGAGAAAAGGAGGGAAAATCTCGGTTGACCAATTACAATTCACTGGCATTTCCACTCTTCCCAAATTTCGAGGGACTGAAAGAGGGATTTTCCTCCCAACCACCCCCAGGGTTTAAAAGGGCATGCGCAAGCGAAAATCGCTCTCTCACGCTCCCACGCTCCACACAAGGTTTTAAGTGCAACTCATTGACCAAGTGCCAGGTCCAGTACCAGTTAACTAAATAAAAGAAAAGTAAGTTGAAACAAAATTTTATTCACTATCTCTCCTTTTCCTCTTCTTGTTAGAGTAGCTGATCGAAACTCGTGAAAAATAGGTCTTCGAAAAAGTATTTCAGCAGGAATTGGGATACTTTTTCAATAAGACAGTCGCGCCGTTAAACTAAAATAAAATACTTTTTATGTGATAATTCCGGCAAGGTTTGGGATTTTCACATCCAAGTCCCGATTCCATTGGACCCTGGTGTTTGATGGAAGGCTTGTAGTCCAGTTTAATTTTTTCACTCTTTTTACGCGAAACGCGAAGTAGAAAAGCTCTAATTCTCCAATCGCTCGTCCCGGTTTAAGCGTACGCACGCAAACCAAATAGAGCGCCTGAGATTACGTCCACCTCAGACGTACCTGAGATAGTGACCCGGATGTCACATAAAATTTTTGGAGGCCCCGGAGGGATAAGTTGGAGAAAAAGAGCTTTATAGGGTACTAACAACCTCATACTTTCCTGTCTTCTTTTTCTTGTATAGAAAATTACGGATTTGAAAAAGTAACGGATTTAATACAAATTAACGAATTTGAAAAATTTAAAAAAAAAAAATTTTTGAAATAAAATAACGAATTTGATAAAAATATAAAAAATTTGAAATAAAATAACGAATTTGAAAAATTTGAAAAATTTTTGAAATAAAATAACGAATTTGATAAAAATATAAAAAATTTGAAATAAAATAACGAATTTGAAAACTTTTAAAAATTTTTTGAAATAAAATAACGAATTTGATAAAAATATAAAAAAAATTCGAAATAAAGTAATGAATTTGAAAAATATAACAAATTTGAAATAAAATAACGAATTTGAAAAAAAATATATATAACAAATTTGAAATAAAATAACGAATTTGAAAAATATAAAAAAAAAAAAAATTTCGAAATAAAGTAACGAATTTGAAAAAATATATAAAATAACGAGGTAGCAAAAATTGAGAAGTTGCAAAGATTTAATTAATAAAATAAATCAAAAGCGAAAAATTAGAGAAAATAATCACGTAATAAATAAAATAAAAAAATTTTTAGTGAAATCTAACCTTTTTTTTTCTCTTCTGCCTCCTGTTATGCCTCCCTTTGTAGAATTTAGCGGTGTTTCGTACGATTTAATAGAAACGGTAGACCAAGTTGTAGAAGATATTTCAACAATTAGAGAAAGTCAGGACGCGGTAATAAGTCGGGTAAATAGTCATAGTAACGATATCGCGAAAATAAATCAGAACGGTCGTAGTTTAAGTGCACGTGTTACGGAATTAGAGCTAGAAAATAAGAATAGAATTTACCAGATAGCTAGTTTAGGACATCTCTGCGTCAACCTTATTGAATCTAACACAGCCTTAAAAAAGGAAATAAAAAAACTTAGGAAGCGATCAGGAGTTAAAGATAAATTAATCTCCAAAACCGCAATTTCGAATAAAGTTTTAACCGCAAAAATCGCGAAGTTAACCTTAAAATTAGAAAATTTAAAATTATAAAATAATATTATTAATTAATTAATTTAAAATATTTTTAACATAGTAATCTTATTAGTTAAACCTGAAAAAAAAAAATAAGGAAACTTAAGATAGTGTTAGTTTTTCGTTTGTATTTTGACTAAGCGTGATAATTAATAATTTTTTTTTTTTTTTTCCTTTCTTTTGCCTGTTCAATTTTAGTGAACGCAGAAAACTGGCCCATTAGAAAGAAATTGACTAAGTGTCAACGCAGAAGGTTAGCGAGGGAGATCCAAAAACATCCCGACGCTCTACCAAAACACATTTATGAGGCCGAAAGAAAAAAACAGTTTCAAATAAATAGGGAAAGAAGAGACTTAGACCTGCGGATAAAGACCTTGTTAGCCGACAACAAACCATTCAGCTGCAAACACGGGAACGACCCGTATTACTGCAGGCTTTGCGTGCAGACGTTCGAAAAATTAGGGCCTATCCCTAAGAAAGTAATAACCCCACCGAGTCTGCAAGAGCCGGAACAAATTAATAAACAAAATTGTGGAAAAAGGGACCCAAACAGGTTATATAAAAAACTATTTGCTCCAGATAAAAAAATATTGA